GCTGCTCCACCGGCAGATGTGTGTGATTCACCGCGAGTGTCATTACTGAGCTCTGGGCAAAATCATGTTGCTTTTAAAAAGCTGCATGCCGGAGCTAAAAATAAAGGCAGGTCACGGTGAAGTGTGATGCAGGAGGGTCATCGAGCCTCGCTGACTTTATCTCTGCGCACACGTGTGTTATGAAGCGAAACATCTGGGCTCATCGCTAACACTAGCTCTGGAGGTAAATGTTCCTGAAGAAGGTCTTTTTTTCTTTGCACCAAACTCTGCATCAATGTTTAAAACAATGCAGCTGGAGTCCTGAAATTCCTCAAGGATACGTAGGTCTGGCCTCGTTTGATAGAGAAATACAAACCAACTACATGACGGTGCAAATCTGGTCAGAAACTGTCATGTTTTCATCGACTTCGATGTTAAATCCAACCACAAAACCTTTTATTTCTCACCCAAAGAGGCTGAATATTTATGGAGCCAGTCAGTGGCAGAATTTATGGGAAAGAAATTATTCATATTTGCATTTATGGCCAGAATTTGAACAAGCATTGAGCTGGTGCGACGGTGAAACCGCTGCAAGTTGGGCTAAAAGAAAAACCACAGTGCTTCAAAAAATCACTAGTTTACTGCACTGACGATTATTTCATACGGCGTGATCTGTTCTCATCCGGAACCAAAGACTGTATATGGGCCTTATGCAGATTCTTCTGTTCTCTTTTGTGTCAACTTTTTATCCAATTATATGTTCAGATTTTATATTTTTTAGCCTATTATAGGTCTAGACTGTATATTTTCAGTTTATTAAATGTTTAGCTGTTTTTTTTTAGTTTGTTTATTATTGAACTGTGTGTTTTTTTGTTGTTTTTTTTAAATGAGGGTTCGAGAGAAACACAATTTCAGTTCTCTGAAGCAGAACTGACAATAAAGTGACTCTGACTTGATCGTCGATAACGTACAGACATGAAATCAGACAAATACGAGGCGGTTTTTTAAAAAACATATTTGGTGAATTGGGCTGGAATGACCCAGGAAGCTTTTCAGTGTCTCCCGCTGCGACGATTTATTTTCTTGCCACACTTCCTGTAATTCATCGCGTCCTGAACCAGCAGCTTATTACGGCGTCGGTGGCTAATCTGCCTAATTAATACCCAGTTAGAGCAGAAAAGAAAGTGGCCCGGATGACCCGAAAGTGAGAACGTGGCTGCAAGTCGGCGCCGCCCGGAGTTTCTCTCTTTGTGCCGGTGACGGAGGATCCTTTGATTTAATTTAAAGCAGCAGTAAAACAATGTCCTCATGACGAGGAAAATCCCTGAATTTAAAATCCTCCCTGAGTGGAAATACGAGACGCATTAGCGGTAAAATGTACTCAAAGTCGCAGAAAAAAGCAAACTGCTGCCTGAGACTGATGGATGCTTTATTAGAGCCTTAATGCCGAAGCATCAATGTTTAACCAGCTTCTCCTGCAGTTTTATACACTGTCAGTGAATGTAGGTCAGCGGCTCTGAACACATTTATCTGGAGGCTTCGTTCGGAGGGTCGCAGCGCCGATCTGAGGGTCACGAAACCGAAGCTGCACCGTGCATCGCTTCCACGACAAGAAATGAACACATCAGGCTGTTTTTATGGCTTCAAATGACAAGAATACAGTTTTTTCCAGCAAAAGAAGTCTGACTTAAAGGTTCTTTGTTTAACTTTATTAGAGAGAGTTGGTCCACATGCGGGCTGAATACGAAGATTCGGCTGCAGAAAGAAATCAGCCGTAAACAATGACATCGACCAAAAAACCGGTTGGTCTCTGCAGTTTGTGCAGCCGCGCGAGAGGAATTTATTAGTTTTAACTGTTTAAAGTCAGATCTGAACGCCTTCCAAACATAAAACACTAACCTGCTTTTATTTTTCTTACAGTGTTTTTTTTATTTTCTCTGCAGATCCTCCCCGACTGAATTACTGAATGATTCATTCTGCAAACGGTCACAACATTCCTGCAGTTTTTTTACTTTGCAAAAAAACAAGGAAACACCCCAGTTTGTTCCAACGTGGTGCCGCCTCGATTCGGTTTTTCAGACCTTTTGCTTTATTTTAAATAACTTTTACAATCAGACTGTTTAGAGTTTAGCCAAGAGGGAAGATTATGCTTTGGTTTTTTTTGTCTTTTGGAACCAACAGACAGCTGAAACACATCTCGTATTTTTAATATTAAGTCTTAACCTGAGAAGCAGATAAACGCAGAAACAAAAAACTCCAAACTGTCTTTAGGTTCCCTACTGGAGTAAATGTTTTACTTTCAACTGCTGCAGAAAAAAACTGGTTTCATATTCACACGGAACAAAAGTTATGTGAATTAATGTCGCAGCCGCTCGGTCCAAATCCTCAGAGATCAGCTTCTCGGAGAACAACATAAATTCCAGCTAATGACGGCGGAGTCATTTGCGGAAACGCTCGCCGAGCATCGCTGCATCTCCGCTCATGCGTGACGGAGGAGCTGGAGGGGCATCAGGTGTGTCCCTCCGCCGCCAACACGCGATCCTCAACTCAGATCCAACAGCCGGCACAATGCAACGTGGGCGGACGCACACACGCAGCGCGTCGACGTCTGCGTGCAACGGAGGCACAAATTACAGGGTTTTTTTTCTTTTTTTTTTTGCTTTGTGGCGTGAAAACGGAGAAGGACGAGGCTGTTAGTGGTGAACGCACAGACAGACAGTCAACACATCAGCTCAGGCCAGACGTCGTTTGCTGCGATCAGACTCCAAATCCTCCCTCATGACATAACTCCCCATTCGCTGGTTTATGGACACGTAGTGGGTTAATACAGTATTAGAGCCGGAGAGTCCACAAACACAGTCAGTAGGACAGAAACTCTGCAGCTTCTCCTCTGTCATTCTGTCTCATCTCAGTCCAGACCATCTGTCACAGTCTGCACACACACACACACACACACACACACACTGACACGCACCTCCAGTAAAACCACAGAAGAAGAGCCTGAACAGGTGCAGATCTCTGCTACACCAGAATTTAAAGTTACAGGAGCTGCAGATACAGAGAGTGTGTGTAGCGCTGATAGTGTGTGTAGCGCTGATAGTGTGTGTAGCGTGTCTGTAGGGTGTGTAGAGTGTGTGTGTGTAGTGTTAGTAGAGTGTATAGAATGTGTGAAGTGTGCGTGTGTGAAGTGTTTGTAGTGGTAGTAGTGTGTGTAGTGTATATTGTGTATATTGTGTGTAGTGTTTACAGGCCAAATATCAAGAAGGCTTCTGTTACTACACACACACACACACACACACACACACACACACTCGTAAAGGCACTTATTATATACGTGTGTATATATACAGATGCACACACACTTTATATAGATTCACACACACACACTCATATACAGATGCACATACACACATATATTCGGATACACATTCATGTATACAAATACACACATATACAAGAACACATTCATACATAAACACATAAACACACACATTCATATACAGACACACGCACACAACTGTACATACAGATACGTACCCACACACACACACTTAATTACACACAATTATATACACACACATATGCATGTCTGCAGACATACACACACATATACAGCTACACACACACTTAGATCCACGCAAATAAATGCAAACACACACACAACATTAACAATTACACACAAAAATACACACGTACAAATACATAAACACACACAACATGCACATGATTATACACACACACACATACAGATACACACACACATGCATATACAAAACAGTCAAACACACACACTCACATACAAATATGCATACACGCTAATACACACATATAGAAAATACACACGACAAACACACACTCGTATATAAACACATAGACACACACACTTAGATACACACGTATCCATGCAAAACACACAACATGCACGTGATTATATACAAATACACACACACAACCGTATCTACAGAGACACACACACACACACATATACAGACACTTATTTACACACACACATAGAAATACACACACATATACACACGAATATATGCAAACACACATACAGATACACGCACACAGAAATACACACACATATACAGACACACACTCTTATGCACATGAATACATGCAAACACACACAAATATACAGATACACTTGTTTACACACACACAGACACTCATATACATGCACACACAAAAATATACACACACATGTATGCAGACATGCACATATACAGCTACACACACTTATATACAAACACAAACACACACAACACACATGGTTATATACAAATACACACATAAACAGATACACACTCGTATAGATGCACACGTATACATAAAAATACACACACACACATTCATATACAGGCACACACACTTTTATACACACAAATACATGCAAACACACACAGATACACTTATTCACACGCACACACACTCATATATATAAGAATGCACACATGTGCAGCTACACACACACTCATATATATAAGAATACACACATGTGCAGCTACACACACACTCATAAAGGCAGTTTGAGTCATCACATTAGCGCAGCTTTCTCAGCTCTGATCTGACATTTAATGGATGAAGTCACTGAACTATCAGTCCGTCAGTCACACACACACACTTTCTCAGACACACAAAGCCTCCTGCAGCGTTTGGACCTGGTGGAGCAGCAGTGCAGCTCTACGTGGTGGTACGGTCCGTCCTGGGGGGATTATGAGTGACACGGGGGGCTTCAGAGGGGATCAGCCCGTCCACACAACTTAGCATTCATCTGCCTCCTGCCTTATTTCCATATCCTTTTGTGGCGGCGCCCGTTAGATCCCAGAACCCACCTGGTTCCTCCTCTGATCATCTGAACCAAACAATCTGCATATTGAGCCACAACCAGGAGAGCAGCTCAGGAGTCTGACAGAGTTTCACACAAAGTGCAGCCGGCTCGTCCCACAGCAGAGACCGGGCCGAACCGGGCCGAGCCGGACCGGAGGACAAACAGAAGCACAAGTTGTGTTTCTTACCTTCCTCGGCTGAGTTGGGCTGTAGGAGCAGACAGAGGGACAGAAAGACACTCCACATCTCCACGACAGAATGACTGCGAGGAGGCAGGGAGGCAGAGAGGCAGGGAGGGGGGGAGGAGTCTGGTCCTGGCTCGGTCTGACGGAGGGACGGAGGGAGGGAGGGACGGCGGTGGATGGATGAGGGAGGGAGAGAGGGAAGTATTTACAGAGAAGGAGCTGGAGGAGGGAGGAGGAGGTAAACAGAGGAGGGTTGTCACAGAGACAGTTTAAGATATCTGAGAGAAAAATAATGTCTGACAGAGATTTAGATCAGAGAGCAACAGAGACAGAGTTTTATATGTGAGGGGAATAAAAACAGACACAGTTTAGTGTATCTGAGAGAGACAAAGACAGAGTTTACCATCTTAAAGAGGGATTTAGATCTGAGAGGAACAGAGACAGAGTTTTATATCAAAGAGAGGCAGAGACAGTTTAATATCTGACTGAGACAGAAACAGAGTTTAATGTCTGAGAGAGAGACAGAGTTTAAAACAGAAAGAAAGAAGAAAGGCACTTTTATATCTGAGACAAAGACAGAGTTTAAAAGCTTAGAGAGAGATTTAGATCTGAGAGAAATAAAAGCAGAGTTTAGTTCATCTGAGAGAGTTTAATGTCTGACAGAGAGATTTAGATCCGAGAGAGACAAAGAGAGTTTAACAAGAGAATCAGAGACAGTTTTATATCTGACAGAAACAAAAACAGAGTTTAAGACACAACAGAAAGAAAGAAGGTTTTATATCTGACTTAGAGTTTTAAATATAACAAACAGACTGAGGAGAGAGTTTCTGTCCGACCTAAACAAGACTTAAACAGACAGAAAGAGAGTTTAATGTCTGAGAGAAAGAGTTTAAAACAGAAAGAAAGACGGTTTTATATCTGACAGAAACATCCATCCATCATCTCTACACCTTCATCCTCACTAGGGTCATGGGGGGCTGGAGTCTATCCCAGCTGACTCAGGGTGAAGGCAGGTTCACCTGGACAGGTAACCAGTCTATCACAGGGCTACACTTAGAGACAGACAACCAAGCACACTCACATTCACACCTACGGACAATTTACAATCACCAATTAACCTCAGCATGTTTCTGGACTGTGGGAGGAAGCCGGAGAACCCGGAGAGAACCCACGCTGCACGGGGAGAACATGCAAACTCCACGCAGAAAGATCCCGGGTGTCCTCACCGGGATGTGAATCGGCGACCTCCTCGCTGTGAGGCAATGGTGCTAACCACTGAGACACCTGGCAGTCCTCTGACAGAAACAAAGACAAATAATTTCATATCGAACCTGAACACGAACAGAAACAGAGTTTAGATTTAGATCTGAGAGACACAAAGACGGACTTTTATATCTGGCTTAAGCCAAAACAGCTGATTTTTGAGTATTTTTACAAAAAGACCTGCAGCTCACACACAAAAAAAGATCAAATTCTGACGATTCTCTCTGTTTTTACAGTTTTTGTGAGTATTTAAAGGTTTCCAAAGCGTCCGGGGGGTTCGAGGTTCAGAGGATTTTCTTTTGTTGTCCGGCTAACTGATCGTTTAGGTCCGTCGGTTGAAGCAGTTGAAGGAGTTTTGCATAAAGTTATCAGGAAACGTGGCTTCCAGTCTGGTTTGTTCACAGATTCACTGGTTTGCTGCAGAAACTCTGAAGATGAACAAGTTCAAAGACAGACTTTTATATCTGACTTCAACTGAAACAGCTTATTTTTGAGTATTTTTACTGAAGGACCTGCAGCTCACACACAGAAAAGCTCAAACTCTGATGATTCTCTGAGTTTTACAGTTTCTGGCTGATAAATAGAGTCATTGATGTGGTTATTTAAAGGTTTCCGATGCGTCCGGAGGTTTGAGGTTCAGAGAGTTCATTAAAAACTTTCATCTTCTGGTTCTTTTGTTATTATTTGCAAACTGCTTGTTATGTTCAGTCGGATGAAGCAGTTTCAGGATTTTTGCGGTAGGTTTGGTACGAAACGTGGTTTGTTCACAGGTTTACTGGTTTGTTGCAGAAACTCTGAGGAACAAAAAACCAAAGACAGAGTTTAAACATGAGGAAGACGGAGAGATGGTTTTATATCCGACAGAGATTTCCCCGTAAACAAAGACAGAGGAGGTGCAGAAGCGTCTAAACTTGTTCTTCTGGTCTGAAACCGTCGGGACTCGTCTCCGTCCTGCCGTCGGACGGTTCCGTCCTCCACATGTCTGGACTCTGAGCTTCCTCCTCAGAGCTTCCTCCTCCTCCTCCGTCTCGTCCACCTTCAGCGGTTCAGATGCGTGGACGCCCCTCGCTGGCCGCCTGCAGCGCTGCAGCTTGTTGATGCCTTCATGCTCCAGTTGCTGCAGTGATTCAGGCGGAGGGGACGGCTGCAGATAGACGTGGTGTTTCACCGTGACACAGTTCCCATCAGCCGCCGGCTCCGAGGGGCCGCGGTGGGAAACTCTGGACTAAAGCTCCTCTGCCGTGAGTTTGTCCCTCACAGCCGGGATGAGATGTCTGTTTATGTGTTTATGGAGCTCAAACAGTTTGTCGATTAACCCGCT